AAATAGTTTCCAAATTTTGCTAGCCAGTCGGGCTTGCCATGCTTGTAAGTTACAAGCCCACAAAATAATTCACTAGCCCTTAATTTGAAAGTAGAAACTAAGCAAAAGATTACAAAAATAGATGAGATTGAATAAGATGTTGTTGGCATGACACGGGTTTCATCAATAAGCTGCTAATATGATGAACATTTTTATCAGACCATAATACTGAATGACTTAAAAGTGTATTATAACTTAACAATTCAGAGAGAGCGATATATTTACAAAATGACCCCATGAAAATTCACTAGCCAGTCAGGCCATTGACTGTGGAGATTTAATACCCCGACTATATTTTTACTAGCCACAGGCTAGCGGGCCAGTGGCTCTTTCGTACACTGATATGAGCACTCAGGCATCCAGACACAGACTCAACATAATAACTCAGCAACGTTCACCGCTGCCTCTGAGGGTGAATATATAGTATTCCCAGAAATTATTGAGAAAGTTGTTTCGGCATCTATCTATCTAATACATGGATAAAGACTATGTTGAAGATTTACTTAAATGAATATGTTGAGATCTGATTCTCTTACAGTCTAAGTATCTTTTCAGTACTTTGTGAAACCACCTTGCCCTGCAATGCCCTGCATTTTCGTCCGACAAGCACTGTTTTGTGTAGCCTGCAGTGTTTTGGGTTGTTATCATGCTGGAAAATCCAATTATCTTCACAGAGTGTTCGGGCCGTTGGGAGGAGGTGATCATGTAAGATGTCAACATATCGTTCCTTCGTCAGATTTTCAGTGAAAATACGCAACGGCGTCGGTTGTGCGGAGTCACTCCACGGGATGATATCCCGCCCCAAATGTAAAATATCGGGCTATGTTTTGTGCGTTGCTAGATAGGTTTCACAGTATCTTTTGTCCAAATTTTCACACAGTTCGCAAAAAGCCAGACAAAACTTTCATCAGAACAGAAAACATTATCCCAAACTTGATTTTCCTGAGCTCTGCACTCACCTGTTTTAACGTCTTTTTTGTGTTCCTTTTCATCAATGGTGAGGGAATTCCGCGCTCTTTCACCCAGTTAAGTCTTTGTAATTCTTGTGTAAGGGATTCGCTACATACCTGATGACTTCCTGTATTAATCATCTCATTTCTGATATTCTCAACGCGTTTCAATTCTCCGCTTCTCACAATCTGACCAAGTCGCCGGCGATCCGTAGTACTGAACTTCCTTGGCCTCCCTGTCCCTATGTCTTGTGCTTAATCCCAACTCTTGACTGAATATTCCTCCAAGTTCTGTATACTGTAGACAGGTTAATGTCATGTCTACCAGATAACTATTTTGCATTAGTCACTAGTGTTGGGAATTGGTTGAAATCTCACAATTGATAATTGGTTCATTACCAAAGAGCAATCATCGAAAAATTTGGTTAGCGTCATTTTTTTAGATTTTCCAATTCAGGTTATTGCAGATAAGTATTACGTGGTTCTCTGTTGTTGTTGGTTGTTTTGTTTTTTATATATTTGCAAATTTCACATCCAATGTAAAATGGTGCAACTTGCTACTTTAAAGTGATTACCATGATATCATGAACATAAACTTCCCAGAATCCTCAAGAAGTATTCAGTCATGACTTTTTTAGTAAGTGAAGTGAGTTTTCTAAGAATTAAACCTGTTTCAGGCTCTAATAATTTCTAAGATATGTTCCCATTGTCAAGTGTTTCAAACACTAAAACAGTAGTTCAAAATTGTTTGTGTTCGATTATGAGAAAATGTCGATCGTTTGGTCGTTTGGTCACCGCGACCAATCTTCGATTATGTCAATTAATCGGAACACCACTATTTGGTCACACCCCTTTCAAAATCATCTGCTGTCTCATGTCAGCAAAAGAAGCCGTCTGATGTCCAAAATCTACGCTTTTAGCAATATTGTCACGGCGGGGACACCAGAAATGGGCTTCACATCTTGATGTGATAGGGTTTGACGAGCGGACGCTTTAAGCCTACACCCCAGAGTTGCTACAAGAGTTGCCTCCCATATTGAGTACCTTACTACCTACTATAACACCTATTGTAAAATTCTATTATCAGTACTAGGAAACACAGATTTTCCCAGTAATTTCAGGGAAAACTGTATTATCGTAATCGGTGATATCATTTGGCGGTGGTATTGTTCGTGTCTGGAGAAATTACTTAATCTTAGATATGGTTCATTTAATGTGTAATATGTAGCGTAGCAAGGGATGAGAGGAATGGGTAGTTGAGTTGCTAAAACAGAGGAAAGGATTAACTGATAATACATTGATTGATTAACCAGTGTCATTATATAATGAAGAATAACACCCCCCAACCCCGCCCTATTTTCATTGGCCGAAAAGTGAGTACACAACAGTCTATGGAAATATATCCATCTCAAGTACGATAATTTACGATGTTGACTTCAGTTACTAAAAAGGTTCAAAACCCTAAGAATCCAGAAGACCAGACATAGATATGATCAGTGTAAGAGGATTCAAGGAATAATCGTAATCTTTCGAAGCAATGGCAAAGACAGGAGTGAATCTGATTTGCCGGGATCAAACTTTACCCTCCTATAGGCGATGACGTAACTCTATGACTACGTATATATATATAACTCTGACAGTCTTGTACTTCTACATCACAAAGGATATGGATACGTTCTGATGTTATTGATAGTCCTTGTATCATCATTTTCTGAATGTATATATCAGGTTGTGAGACAGAATTATCTGGGTACCGTTTCACAAAGCAGTCGTATAGGCTTCACGTGTGGGTAAAACTGGCATAACTTGGAACTACTGAACTTCTGGAGCTTCACTAAACTCTGGTTGGGATCCGTGATGTCTACTCTCAGTATGAAGGCTGGTCTATCCTCAGTACAAGTTCTTCAGGGGCATAGGTTCCATCTCGACACATATTATAACAGTCATCGGTCTGTGTCAAGCCTGTAATCGTTCACTGTTTTCACTGATGACAAAGCTTAGAAGAGAATGTCCCCTATCATAGGCGACAAGATATGCGGTGCTGTTCTGCCACACACTAATGAGAATAGCCTGTACTTGGAGATGATGTGCTTATACCGACATTTTTAGGGATATTGACTTTGACATTCTCCAGTGTATGCTAATCCCTCAGGGAGGAACTGTTAATGATTTTCATGTGCAAAATCGTGTAAACGCCATTAACAGTTCCATATTTCTAATGTATGTCCGTATATTATGTACAACTGTCTGGTCACCATCAACTACAGTTTCTATTGCCAGTAGAAAAGTGTGCACCACGACCGGCTACTTGTCTGCCATGTTGTTTGATTGTTAACATATTTTGTTCAAGGGTTTAGTCAATAATACTTTGATTGATTACTCGTTGTTCTGTGAATAAATGGATGGTTTTAACATTACAATCATTTTCTTCAGGCAATAAAGAGTATGGTTTATGATAAAATAGTGTTGGTTTTTGTGTACATTGTGACTGACATACGTCATGCCGCTTTGACAAATACTTTTGTTTTAGTGCCGTTTAGTCATGTACCGTCGGCAAAACCTCCCTTTAGAAGTTCATACGCCGGACCTCGTCACTCATAGCGCAATAGGCTAAATCATACAGGCAACCAAACAATATTCACGGCAGAACTAACAGGCATAGGAACAGCACTCGTCAAACAACACAGTAATAATAATAATTCTAACAGACTCACAGAAGGTGAGGTGAAGTGAAATTAGGTTTAACGTTGTGCTTGAGGATATTTCGCTCATATGACGACGTACGTGCATGCGTGTGTGTGTGTATGTGCGGCTGCTTGTTCTAGCCCAGACTTAAGCTGGTTTTATAGTGCTAGCCCACTGAGATACCATGCCGCAGTGAAGCATGAATACTAGTACCCCACTCAGACACTTTATACTGACTCCGAGCCGACCAGTCCTTGTTGTACCGATTAATGCCGAGCGCCAGGCAGGGACCAACAAGTACTATATTTTAAGGTCTTTTGGTATGACGCGGTCGGGGATCGAACCCGCGACCTTCCGCTCTCCGGGCGGACGCTCTAACCACTACACCACGGAGGCGGTCGACTCACAGAAAGTGCTCCAAGCAAAATAAAACAACAACCAAAACAAAACAAAACAAACCCACCAAATACCAACACGAACTAATGAACGAAATACTAAGGATCAACACGCATAAGGCTAAAACGTCGAGTTCATATGGACCCTGGCCGAGCAATCAGCCATGAAAAGCGGTGCTTAACCCCCCACAATTAAGTATCTAAAAATGGATTACCCGTCTATAAAAACAAATAGAAATGTTCCAAAAGTGGCAAAGTACGTAAGTACCAAAATTTAAAAACCTATTCACAAAAGCACTAAAAAAATTAAAATCAACAATAAATCTACAAATATTGACAGGGTTATTATAACCAAATTACAAATAAGTCACACAAAATTAAATTCCTGCCAACATAAAATGATAACAGACCAAACGGGCAGAATGGTGCTTCAGAGTTCACCTGACACTAGGTATACATGTACTAAATAACCACGCACGCACGCACGCACGCACACACACACACACACAATCACACCCTCTTTGGGTCAAACAAAATGGACGAGCGGTCCCGTGCGCATCATGTCGGAAAGCGCACGTAAAATCTTCAAATCATCAGCCGACAACCTGCTTACGAAACACGCAGCCTAAGCTGGTTCCTAGCTCTCTATGCGCGGCGTCCACAGTTTGTGGCGTTAGAGACGGAGCCAAGCTTATGTTTTGGTGTTGAGTGTAAAATCAGAAATCAACACGTTAAACGAAAGTTGTTGAAAATCGTAGACATTAAGATGTGCGAAAATATGGATCCCGTGTGAGTAGAAATGCAGTGAAAACTCCTGTTTTCAAAATGCAATAAATATTTATCGAAAACCTAAAGTAACTAACCTACTACATATCTGATTGTAATAAATATATTTATAAACAGACTAAGTCACGTGATTTGTTCATGTGACTACACGCCATCAAAGCATCTTCCGGATCATCAACATATTCAAAGATATTTCCCCTGACACGGGTCTTGTTCAGTGGTGTTGTACAGCATCTCAAGGTAAATATCATCTGTAGTGTAAATTGTGAAGGATGACATTCAATTTTTTAAAGTATGAAAAGACATGTGACATGCTACCACTGACAGCCGGCCTTGGCTAAAACGCTGAGAGGCTCAATATTTGTATGCATTTTTCAAATTATGATTGATTACCAAGATATGACTCAACATGAGGGATTATTAATGTAGATTTTGTTTTAAAATTCTTCCGCCAGTGGACAATGTGTTTGTTTTGAGTTTGATGTGCTCCATTTTCACGATTCTTTTCGCTGATGTCATACCATACTCCGGTCACGATGCCGGTGGGTGGACTGTCCGCGTGGTTCAAGCTAATCAGATAATTCGTGTACTTACATGGACCTAATCTCTGCACATCATGTCCATGAAATAGATGACATACTGACGACTGATTATCAAATGTCAGATGCGTGATTTGCCATTGGCAGAGTGATCCTCCTTCGATAAAGTCTGTGATGGTTCATTTAGTGTCGTCTGGTCATATTTGTGGGGTGTGACAACTTACATATTGCATTTTGCATCTTTGCAAATAGTGTCAATGATGTTCATATGGCAATAAAAGTATGACTGAAGGGTCGTTTTCGTCATGGGTACTACAGATATTGGCTACCCCAGGTAAAATCACCCTAGCCAAAATCAGAATACAGAAAGGTACCCTATTGCGAGTCCTTGTGCCATATTGTTAAATGTCACATGCAACCAAAAATCAAACATAATTAAAACACAATTGTCACTTATTCATGACATATAATATATATTGCTGATTATGAAAAAACATAAAAACAAACTTATAAGCGTACAATAGCAAATCAAAAGTGCAATATTTGGTACTTGGGTTTACTTCCCAAGAAATGAAGCAGCCGGGATACCGAACCCAGTCAGAGTGGGTGGGTGTGCACTCAAGTGTAACGGCTGGTTCATTTGCAGATGCCCTCACGGCTCATTGTTTGTGTATATATAGAGATGTTGGGTTTTGTAGATACATGCTCATTATTTGTGTATAACATTTTGCAATCAACAGACATCATGTGTATAAGTATCACACCTGCCTGTCTGTGTAATTACATAATGTGACAGAGACCGAACTCGGGCCATAAATCAATGCGTTTTGTTTATGGTGTATAGCCTGATAGGTGTTAACTTCAAATTGCATGTGGTCAGTGATCGAAGTTGTGTATTGAATATTGTCAATAGCAGACAGGCAGGCAGACACATAGGTGTCAATAAAACAGACATTGAGTTTTGTCTGTGACAACGACATATCTATATCACAGTTAGAAATTCTGTCAACGCTAAATAATGACATTGCTTTTAAGTATCGAACTGAGAAAGTTACTCGGTAAGAAGAACGTGTGGTGAAATAGACAAATGAAATTATATAAACAGTTAATCTACTGTCATAACATATAAAAAGCTCGTGCCTGTGAAATATCAACAAAACATTAGAAAAATAGCTCACACCAAAGCCTTCACCGAGTATTCACCGGACAATCCGCTTCCAAGCTGCGTGAACCTATTTCACTGCGCATGTGCTATGAGCGCAGCCCAGCCCAGCTGTTGAAACCACTTTTTCCCCCAAGCGCTTGGGGAAAATTAGTGAATCGTTTTTGAACTCCGATTTCGCGCGGGTTTCAACTTTATTAATTGAATTTGCATTTTTGATGATTTGTTTCGGTAAGTCCATACCGAAAGGTATCAGAATCTGCAAAGTTGTGTTTTACGTTGCATGTGACCTTTAACACGTAATGAGGTGCATTTGATTGCATTATATAAGAAACATATACAGACAGTAATTAATATTTCGCAATACACAGTGTCACCCACAATCAGGTGAAGGGGAACAGCTATATACAGTTTACCCTGTTGTGGATCGGTTTTGCCTGTGACACTTGGCTCATCATGACTGTGCCGGCTACTTGTGTTACAGCCACTTAAATTACTTCCTCAGCAGAAAATCTTTCCTTGCTCCATAAACTTCATCTTGCTTATTGCTGAAATGATAGACTTGCTTGGCCACTGAAGGCTGGTAATAGTCATTGGAAACCTAAGTAGTTTGAAAAAGGAAACAACCTTTCAACTGTGGAATTTATCAGTGTAATTTAATGCTGATAAGAATTTGTGAAAATATTTCTTAGAATCAACCAACACATATCAAAGTCATAAACACTTTATATTATTTACATCAGATAACATTGTTTTCCTGCATCCATTCACCACAATAGTGAGTCCAGTAGAACAGTTCTTGAAAGAGACGGTCCAGTGCCAGTTTCCTTGCTCTGTGGTATCCCTAAGGTTTGTAATATTATTGTTCTAAGTAAAGAAAAGCAATTTCTTTATCACAGTCTGGAGCGACTTAGTACTTTAACTTCTCACTGCTTCATACCCGTGAAGGTCCGTGTTAGAATACTGATCTTCAGTAACCCATGCTTGTTGTAAGAGGCGACTGACTGGATCGGGTGGTCAGGCTGGCTGACTTGGTTGACGCATGTCATCGGTTCCATATTGTGCAGATCGATGCTCATGCTGTTGATCACTGGATTGTCTGGTCCAGACTCGATTATTTACAGACCGCCACCATATAGCTGGAATATTGCTGAGTGCATGGTAAAGCTAAACTCACTCACTCTAGCTGCTTCTAAAAGAAGTTATTATTGCTCTATTATTGATGGTCAGTGTTTTCGGTCCATATTGTATACTCGGACCTCGTTGTATCGCGGCATTCATGGTATCGCGGCAAACGGTATTTCGGGTTTTCCGCTCGAGACACGCCTCCTAGCGGTGATTTGCATATGTAAATCGACAGCAGACGTCAGTCGCTTGTTTACTTTTTAGAAACCAGCAGGATGTATCGAATCTTCGTAAGCATTATGCAGCAGAAATATTTACATTAAACTCTTGAATCTAATGGAATCTGTCTGAATCCCATTCATCAAATACACGCTATAATATTTACGTGTCGTATATGACCCTTCCAACTCGATCTGAACTAGGTCGTCTGCATCTCATTGTTGCCATATAAGGTAGCGGAAGTGACATCATGAGCTTTATTTATCTCCGGTGAATACCAAAATTTGTAATTCAAATAAGGACACAAAGCGTAAAATGATCCCTGTTCACTGAAAGCGATTTTGCACACTCTAACAAACTAGAAATTTAGAAGGATTTTTATTATACTGTTGTTCACATAATTATTTATTCATATTATAACATTATTTCAAATCATATTTTGCATTGAAATATTGTTGAAATCATGCCTGAAATAAAACAAAAACAACAGTATGAACAAATATTAAGAAAATCATGAAGAAAATGATGTATTTTGGAAGTTTTGTGATATCCTTGAATAAAATTTCATAATGGATACAGTTTTGTGCACCTTCGATTACAAAAATACCTCAACTGATTTCACATTAAGGTGAGTTAAACAATTTCATTTTTGATCCCTACTTAGCCTTGCAATCGAGAGTTTTAGTGTTTACAGCGATACGATGGAGTTCTATCCTTTTGGTAAATATTAACCGGCCGTTAGTTTAATGGCTCTCGCTGAAACACTATCAAAGTTAAAATAATATTCTTTTTACAAATGTGTTGATTAAATGTGATGTTAATCGGATTTAATAATAGAATAGGCCTTAAAAGTTTTTAATTTCATTTACAATTACGGATATGTCAAGAACCGCGATACAACGAGGTCGCAGGCTACTGCCACATATGCAAGATATACTTTCCAATATTCGAACATCTGTAAGAAGGTACTTTTCCAAAAAATAACAGTTTCCTCATTAAAGCATTTGTCCAAACGTGTTTATATTCAAGTGTTGTATTTGTTATTTAAACCAGATTCACTTTTCAGCAAATCATTGTTATTAACGTCATTGTTAAAAAATGATTATTTTTTCATTACTATGACAAGTGTTGCCTTTCTTTCAACTAGTTCAAGATGATTTAGTTGGAAACACCTGCTATGCATAAGTAAGATTCTGCATAAGTATATATACTTCTGGTTTACCCTAAATTGGCACTAAACATTGGTCAGCTATGGAGAAAAGAAAAGGTTTAAAAATATCACAAAATATGTTATGTCAAATAAACGGTAATAGAAAATCCATATGAAGCATCCATAGTGTTTGAAGTTAACTAACTGAGTGTTAGGGCATACCCACCAAGAATGTCGTGTCGAGAAGTGAAGAAACCTGACCATAAAAAATATTGATCTTGCTATTTGTACAGGATAGTAGAAACATGTCTTTGTGGGCATCGGTTGCTGATCTGTTTCATGGAGAACACCATGTACATTCTGTCTCGTACGTTTGTATTTCAGCCTGATGCAATGTTCCTGCATATTTGATGCACAGCAAGCACTTTAAGACATCGAAAACTATAATGTACATCAGTGCTGACACCACCTATTGATGTATCCTATCAAACTTGTAGTTGTAATGTATCATTTTTGTTTCATATGTCGTGTCGTGATTTATTTTGTCAGTTGCACTTCCTGTTATTCTAAGCATTTTGTCATGTGCAGAGATTGTTAATATTCTGTGCAATTGTCTTACAAAATATTGATTTGCTGTACACTCATTTTCTCCCAAGATCTATGGGTGATTCAGTTCAAAATATACCCAATACTTAAGTGAAATGTTAGTTCAATGCTTGGAACGAATAATTATATCTGAAATATTATGTCTTGTTGTTTTAGTTACCGTGTAAATTAATATGTAGATAAATTATTATCATGATATGGTAAGCACTTTGGTACAGAAATAGATAATTTTTTGTGTATGGAAGAAACAGTATAGCTTGTTTAGGTATGCTTTTGTGTAATTATATGGGTGATTTAATGGTGAACTTGTAATAAGTCCATGGTTAGGTCATGTTGTCCGAGGAAGGCTATATTGGCTCAAGGCCAGTATGATTGATTAACGTTCTAATTGTCAACCATAACTTTATGTTTCCATGTAAAATAGGATTCATTCTCATTGGTTGATGAGAGCCATCTGTAATTTTGTGATTGCAATGTAAGGAATGTAATGAACATGCAAGAGCCAAACTGGTCCAGCCAAGACTAAATGGCGTGCTCAAATCCCAAACTGCACTGCCATTACTGTAATGGCCCTCAAGTGCATCTGTATGATTTGATTTGAGCATGTTACTGATGGTTGAGCATGTTACTGAAGGTTGAGCATGTTACTAACAGTAAAGAATGTTACTGACAGTTGATTAATGCCTGTATATGTACTCTCTGGCAAGGAAGGTATGTTTCAAGAATCAATAGTGCATCTGATCATGGTGATAAGTAACAGTGATAGTTGGTGCGATCTGTCCATACAAATTTTTGCGAGAACTAAGATCTGATTTTAATACAATTAAGCCGTCTTAGTTACCTCAATTTGTTGTAAAGAGTTATGAAAGAGAAGTGAAATTGAAGGGGTCCATACAGCCCCATGGGGGCCAGGGTCAGAATAGAGCTTGTACTACGATGAACTAATTGGTTCAGTGGTAGAGATGATGATGTAACCATGACGATATTAATCATTGATCATGATTTCAGTCACCGGTTTGCCTTGACCTAACTTCATTGTTTATATGCCGTTGCGATATAGCTGGGATTCTACAGACTGTAGTTTTTAGCATCTGTAACGCACTTACTAACTTTAAAAGTCAAATATATATGATGTCCCTAGATTCTCTTTGCAATGATACAGCACCAAATCTGAAGCACTCATTGACCCCATGTCGTCAACATTGAAGTCATCCTAACACCATGTACGTCTGCTGTCAAGATGTGGTTGTGCTTGGCGCTCCAGACACAAATGATATTGATGAACATCCCCCGTAGAGTCAGTGTCAGGGAGAAGGCATGGGATGCCCTTGGCTTAGGGTGATACATCACTCCTGGTGACATGTCGGTCTCTGGCTTTGACACTTCTTCACTGCTAGAAGGTCTGCTAATGTTCTTCACCCCCAACAATCACTTTTCTTGGCTGACTTAGAAATCTGAGAACATGCAGAATTGCAAAATTGTTTGATGCCTTCTTGCAATGAAATAAGATAAAGAATGAACAGCAGTATCCAATAGATTTAATCTCTCTAGTCGTAGATACAATGGTATATGTAATACAAGACAAATCTTATGGATAACAACTTCTTGATTTAAAACAGAATTTCTTTCAAAAAGAATTTCGTGGTAGATGTAGTGGTGGATATCAAAGGACATGAACACTTTCCAGCAGAGTTGGTGTGATGTACGCCATCATGTTCTTGATTGAAAGAAATGCTTTAATTAAGGTCCTTGAACAAGTTGCAGACACATTCCTTTGATGCCCAATCACAACACTCTTTTAAGTAGGATTATTTGACAAAATGCACTTTGATGTTATTGTCAAATATTTTTTAAATTGTGTCTAGTATTCTATAAGACCCTGCAGTAATGTCAGTGTTGCATGTTGTAAACAAAGCTCTATTGCAGTGTAGGAAAGATAGCCCGTCCCAACGTCCGAGACGGGTGAATTTTGTGGAGGACGGGTTAAAAAAACATCTGGTCCGTCCTCATGTCGTGTCAGTTTTAGCAAACCAATGACATAATCATTATTATATTATAACCTTTTTTGAATATTTACTGCCAAAGGATACTAGAATAATCAGATGATTCCACTAGGAGAGATTTAACAGTCCAAGCTCTGTGTGTGCATATTAAATTATGGCTTAAAATAAAACAAACCAGTTTTAAGTCTTGAAATGGTGTTTTATTTATATTTGGAGGACAGGCTAGATTTTGGCAGGACTGGTTAAAAATTTGACCAGCCAGTCCTGTGGACAGGCTAGATTTTCTACATCTTTCCTACACTGCTCTATTGTGTACTTACTTCCTGTATATAATGTTTTGCCCTATAACCTGGAACTGACTAATCCCCATTCTATTGTCCATACTTGATCTTTGTCCACCCAACTGTAAGTAAGAGTCACAGTTGAATATTTTTATTCTCTTGTGACAAGATTCTGTTTTCTATGTTAACCAGTCTCATGTTATGTTTTGTTAGAATTGCCTAATGATATATTTAAGTAATATCTTTGTGGAGAGATAGGTAGAAACTGATCAAGAGGAAGTTGCCCACATAGCATGTGCTCTTCCAGTGCCATGGAAGTAATGCAATGAAATTAAATTGCAATCCCTGTGAACTCTATGTATATTGACTTGTATGTAGACATACATAGATCTACACTAGATAGTAAATGCAGTGAAATCCAAGGGACCAGGAAGGTCAGCTGGTTATTTGATTTGATTTGTTATG